AAAAAAAAGTATACTGACTTTTTTTCCTAACAGAGGAAGACTATACTCATGTACTTGGACAGTTCTTACAGGGATAGATGTAAAACTGTGTTCATTTCTTAAGGATAAAAAGAAAAGCTGTAGAAGCAAAAAAGAAAAAAAAAAAAAGCCCAAAGTCTTTTTTGGTTTTAACAGAGAGCTTTTGCAACTGGGTGACAGATATGTGACTCCTTTTAGCAGATTCACCGCTTGTATATTAATTCTCTTTATCATAGCCTTACGTGAACATAATTTAGCCATTTTCTGGAAATCAGGCATGGATTTCCTTACATTTATGCTACGGTCACGCCATAGCCTCGCATCACCGGTAGCTCTTTAAAAAAAAATTCTGTGATCTTAACATCCCCACATTTGAGCAGCAGTTTCCAGCTGCTCTCTTTTGTTTGGATCATATGGCACCATAAGAGAATGCCATGGTGGATTTGCACGGAAATGGTTGCATATCTTTTGTGCATCGCACTCGCTTCGTACCTCTGCCACAAGCAAGAAATGCTGAACTGGTGCCAACACCAAATCCTACTCAGATGAATGCAGACTTCATGTTGCTACAGGTAGCACTCTGTGAGTATCTCTTGGATGGAGTAGTTATAGCTACTATAGCTACTTTAAATTTAAATCTTTCAGCTCCAGGCATATTCTTTAAAAGAAAAGGGCTGTTATCCTTTTCCCTTATATAGCCTCAATTTCCAGGAAGCAGAGATTGGAAAGGATTTGAGCAGCCAGCAAATTAGAGACCTAAATTAGATTTCACTGAAAATTTTGCACAGAAATATTTCTTGATCAAAAATGTGTTTTTAACTAAAGGAAGTTTTCTCCTGGGAATAAATTTTATATCTTTTTGGTGTTGAACCCCCTGCCAAGACACATTTGAGGTTGTTGATTGCTGCATATATATATGTTTCTATATGTTGACATATATGTCTGTGTGTATGTGCTATATAAACAGCCCTTTCTTGCATTTTTTGCTATTTTTAATGAAAGTTAAAAAATGAGTGGGGTAAGAACAGGGGAAAATGCTACATTGCCATTTTATTTGATTTTTTGTGAGGAAGGAAAGATGTTTTCTAGCAACTCTGCTCTTAACTGTAGGTTTTAGTTGCTGGCCATTGCCCGAGTGTTACAAATACCTGATTAAAAAAACCCAGCTGCTGACTTTGGACTTTTTAATTCTGTGTATCTCTAACAGGGTAAATCAGGATAAAATCTGGCAAGTGCGTAGCATGGCTAGCAGCAGGATAGGTAATTTATGCATTCCCTGGGGTTCTCAGGGAGTCTGAAAATTGAAAATGAAGCTTAGCCCTGTGTCCTAGTAACGCCACTTCTGTATCACCTGCCCATATGTTGCTTAAACTGCTGTCACCTCTGTCATCACTGGGGTTTGAGCTTTTACTGCTTCTGCTAAAGCCATGTGCCCTAGCAGGGCGCTGTATACTCTTTGCATTTTAGGCACAGAGGGGGGACTCGTAACGTGGGGAGCAGGGGGTTGCCTTAAGTCTCCTTAAAGGAGGTAGACATGCACTGTCTCCCTCTGCAAGAAAATCCTTTTATCTTGTGAAAATCTTCTTAAATACTATTTCTAGGTCCTGCAGTACCAGTTTTGATGACAGTGAAGGTAGTTCCTGCAAAAGGGTAGTGAGTTTTGGGCTTTTGATTTTTGGAGGGATGTGGGATGGAGTAAGGTAGAGCATGGTAGGCTTTTTCTCTAGATTGCAGTAAAACAGATATGAAGCCCAGGGGTGGGCAGACCCCTGAACCCTAAATAATAATAAGAGTATAATATTCTGGTGATGATCACTCCTTTCTTTTATGTATGTCTCAAGGATCGAGTGAATAGAGTGGTTATGGGAAAATAAAGCGTTCATCCTGTCTCAGCAGAAAATTCACAGGCTCCTTTCCTATAGAAAATTGTTGTCCTCAGTAATTCTTTTCTTTTCCTGCCATCTTCCTTCTTCCTTCATCCCCCTCCTCCCTTCTTTGCCCCTTAGGAAACAACTTTGCCAGCTATAAATGTCACGGGGTGTCATCCAGGCAGGGTAGCTGCGCTCTTCAAAGCCCTGAAGTTGTACTTTTTTGTTTGTTTTCACAACTGGGAAGAAAAGATTCCCCTGATATCTGTTTTCAACTTCTTTTTTACTTACGTGTTAAAAAAGGAAGACGTCTTGCTTTCCTTTTACGCTAAGGACACCAGTTTGGCTAGACCTTGAAACAGTGCTCGAAATAGCGCGTTGCCCTTCTCTGAAGCGCCTTCCTGTTCTCTCTTCCTCTCAGCATTAAAGAACTGGTAAGTAAGAAACATAAGGGATGCATTTTCTGCATTAGAGGTGACAACATGAACTGGGGGATTCTGAGTTCTGACAAACCTTTTCAATTTTTTTTTTTTTAAAGATAATTTCGAACCTCTGCAATTCCTGAAGAGACAAGCAAATACACTTGTTCTTAGGCAATGTTTTCTGTCTTATCCACTAGGACCTTGAAATAGGGTCCTGAAATAGGCAGATGTTCATGACAATGTCCAGTGTTTTGTCAACGCAATAGTTAGATAGTTCCGGTGTTATTATGAATTATTGCTTCAGTGGGCCAACACAAAATACAAAGAATACAGAACTGGAACTGATTTCTTATGTCTTCAAAGCTCAGTCTTATGTTATCACAAACAATATCATATCATCTGTTCCTTTTACTATAAATGATCAGACTTTATTTAAAAATGCATCCTTTCCCCTGAACATCTTCCACAGGTGAATCTATTGAAGGACAGCTCTATAATCCCCATTGATTTCTTAGGAAATCAGATCGTTATTTCCAAAGTATGGAAATATGTGACGTACAGCACTTCACTCTTCAGTCATTCAAAGATTCGGAGCAGCCCAGGAGTATTTCTGTGGGCTTTTTCAGAAAGAAGCCAAAACTCATCATTTCAGGAGCTCCTCGTGGAACGTCTAATCCTTTTGTAGCAATAATTTCCCTCATATAGGAGCCCCCAACATTGCTAACATTCTACAGCAATGATTCTCAACAAACTTGAGGAGGAAAATTCAGGTGGGATTCAGCATATTTGTTTCCTTAGAAGAAATAGCAGTTATACCTGCTCATCCAAAAGCTACAAGGCAGGTCAAAATATTTCCTGGTGGCACATGAGAATGCTGAACCAGGAATCACTGACCAACACTATGTAGAAAAAGAAATGGATATATTCAGATATCTCCAGCTGCAATGATCAGCACTGTAGGAAGGTCTGAATGTGACTGTGTTACCACACAGGACTTGACCTAACAGCACGGAGCCTGAAATAGCTACTAGTTCTTTGGTGTACATTTCTTTCACATATTCTTCTTTCCAGGGTCCTTCAAAAGCCTTGACCTGGGTAATTTTTGTCATCTCAGACTTCCTTTGATATATGCTCCTTCCCAGTCTACCTCTAGTTTCCTTTCGTGCAATATCTAGTTTATTAACCATGGTCCAGCTTTATAAAATCTGATTATGCATCTTTTGAAATGTTTACCTCCTTAACTGGGGTGCTAGGAAAGGACATCTATGGTGAGGTGCAGCATCTGCTTTAAACACTTGCATGTACGTGTCTGCTGGTAGGTGGCTACCTGCGCACTGTTGTCTGAGCTACCGGCATAATCAGTAGCGATCCATCAACTTCCCACTTTCGTTGCAGGCATCTAGAGTAATTTGATACACTTCATGCTTCCAGTCAGACCTGGTCCAGATGGATCCATATCTCTTTCTGGTTTTGTATCGTGTTTGTCTGGTGCATATGGCTGCCTCCGGTATCTCAGATTGCAAAGATGTCCATATCTAGACTGCTGAACTGAGCCCCTAATCTGTACAATCAGCAGAGACTACAGAGCCATTTCCGTGACCAGATGTAGATATCTACTTTATGGCTAGTACAATGGCTCCCGTGTCCCATTGATTAGGTCTCTGTTGACTTAGAGTTTAGACCTAATGTCTAAGCTAAACCTAGTTAGACACTCAATGTGCATGTAGACACATACATGTAGAGACCTAGATGTAAGTGTTTTAGTCTTAAACTGAATTCTACCCTTAGGATCAAATGATCCACTCTAGATTAATTGTCTAGTGTCATTTGAGGTGTCCTGACATATCCGTCCTGGCCTGAGCAGCCTGTCCAGCTAGGTGCAGATCTCCAGGAGATGGTCTGTCAATACATGCCAAGCTATGCAGATGGTAGGATGCTCTAGGGCATCTCAAATGGCATTGAATGTCAATGTGTGGGTAACTGAATTGAGTCCACATAGATACTTAAATATAGGAGTTTGAGCCTGATGCTGGATGTCACTTCTAGTTTTCTAGAAAGATATCCTCTTAGGTGTTATGTAGGAGAGTAAGATAATTTAGTCTACAAATGTGAAGCATATGTCAGTGCCGTACATGATAACATTCCTGAGACTCCCCAGTTTCCTCGGGACATTTATGGAACTCATTTTGGAGGCAGCTTCTTTTCATGAGCAGAGTTTGATCCCAATCATCTTTATATACACAACGTTAAGCTTTTCATTTGCCTCATTAACTGTTGCTTTAAAATTCAGATGGTCAAGTACTGATGAAGTACCAAGCTTTGGGAGAGACCATATCCTCATGCACCAAATTCACCAGCATTTTTGATTTTATAAATTGTCAGTAATTTCTCTATATGCCCAAATCAAATTTTCCTTTTGCCAGAGAAAACCTGTAATAGCTGAAAACAAATATCCATTTAAAACCAATAATTCTAAAGTCTTGGATTTCAACTTATGTGGTTAAAGGAACCTACGTTGACATAACAATTTTCTTTCTTAATATGCTGTAGAAATACCTACTATTGCAAGTATATGCTACTTCTATTTTACAGTGCACATTCACCGTGATCCTGACATTTTGTTTACTTACTATTATGTGAAAGAACCCAATGAAGAAAATGGTACTGGGATTGAGTTCCATAAAAATAGGCACTTACTGCCGTTTTAGATTCCCTGGGGTGTCCACCCGTGCCCTGAAAAGCTGCTCCAGAAGGTGGGTCTCCTTTAGGTCTTGTATCCTCTCTGTTAGCCCCGTGCTGATGTCTTGAACGCTGTAGGGGCATCTGAAATAGCATTAGATGCCTGTGTTCAGGCAACAGAATCTTATCCTGGACAAACTGTCTGCCTGTTTTCACTTGGGAAGGATCCGGGAACAAAATTTTACTTAGTAACTGTGTCAGTGGTTGCCTTCTGCTGTCCACGGAGAAGTTACTGATAATTCTCATAAAGTTTAGGCTTATATCCCTGGATGCTATTGTTCAGGTACTGAATTCTAACATAAGTTGTTTAAAAGAAACCAGATATTTTCCTGATATGACCATCTATTTGGTGTATTTTCCATGAAGATATTATATGCCCATAATAGACAATGGTCTATGTGGGATCTAATGGAAGAAGATGATCAGCAGAGAAACCTGGGTTAAAAAGTGGTCCTTATAGTTAAAATTTTGGCACACAACTGCTGTCTCTGCTATCTGGCCTTTGACTGAACAATTATATTCATTGATTGATATGTTTTCTTTAAAACTCATGCATCACAGCCACTCAGGACTGCAAGCATAAAGCATGTATCAGTCATTCTAGGAACCCTTTTCTACCGGGCTTGAAAATGCCACTGTCCTACAGATTTACAGAATATTGCAGACCTGTGACACTTCTTTCTTCAAATAAATTTCAGTTGCAGGGTTTGTTCATTGCTTTCTAATTAAGAAAATGTTATGGAAGACATATGATTTCATTAACTAAAATTATCCCAGAAGATATGATACTATAAATGGGTTTATAAAAGCCCAGTTATGGGCAAGATCTCTTTATGGGGAGTATATATGTTAGTATCAAAGAAGCAAAAAAAAAAAACCCAATTGGATGTGTGCTCTGTGCAGTTTCACAAAGGGTGAACAAATCAAGGGTGTAGGTTTTAATAATACCCAGTGGAAAATGAAAAAGAAGTAATGGGATAGAGTTAAGCCTTTTATTTCTAAGTCAGTAATACTCTCTGCAGTTAGGATAATAGTACAAAGTCATTGCAATCTAGAATTTGTGTTGCAGGTTATACCTATTACATGCTTGTTCTAACCTTGACATAGTGTGAAGCTGTTGTCTTTCTGAGAACATATTGGTGTAGCACATTACTAAAGAAATAAAATGTTTTCCTTCTTCTATCATCACTTTTCTACCAGCTATATAAAGAGCTAGATGCACTAGCTTTTCCATACAGTTTTCTCCTCTGTTCAGTTTTGCTACTGAGAGAGGCAAAGTCTGCCCTTGTTGTGATCCGGTATAGCCAGTATTCCTACTTCTATGATTAGTATCATGATTGAGAATATTCCTCCCATTTGTATCAATTGGTATGGTGCTTCAGAGTAATAAAAATGCAAACAGATTACAAGAACAAAACATTTCTGAAGGTAGATGATGGGATAACCAGGCTGCCTCTGCAGAGGTTCTTGCAGAACTACCTTCTCATCTCAGAAGCTGACTATTTTGAGGTTCAAGACTATTGGTGTAATCCAGCCGCTAAAAATCACTAATGGTTGTTCAAACTTTTTAAAATTTCATGAAAGCCATCTTCCCAAGTAACACACCACATCTTATGCATTCTTAACAAATCCATAGTTTTATGCATGTCGTAATATTCATATTGATAAGCTCTTGAGGAAACCCTAGGGTTGCCATAGCTCTCAGGCTACCACACAATGATTTTCAGTTAATGAGAATTTGTGTTTCCTGGCTTTGCAGAATTTGAAGCCAGTCTCCTGGAAACCAGAGGATGCAACCTCCCATTCTGGGAATACTTCTGTTCCAGAAGGGTATTTGGTTTGAATTTGAAGTCCACATTTCCCTTGGCAGTTTATTGCAGTGGCTACTCATCTTACACTGGGGCAAGTGGAAGTTGCCTAATTGCACTTGTCTGGCTTTTAGCACTCTTTTATAATGTTTTGTCTCAATAAAGGTTTTTAAATACTGTACTCAAAATAATCTTTTATCCTCATTACTGAAAGGAGAAACATATCTTTCTTTTAAGACATATTCTCCCACCCTGAAATTAGTACTGAAGCTCCTTCCACCATCCCCAGTTTTTTAACATCCTTTAAAAATGTGGTTGCCAGCAGTGGATTAAATATTCCAATGTTAGTCTCAATGCTGCAGTAAATGAAGGTCAAATCATCCTCTGCTCCTAGTCTTCTGTACTAACATCCATGGATTGCATTAGTGCTCTTCATCACAGCATCGTAATGGGAGTACTCATCATAGTACTAAGCTGTTTGGTTTCTGTGACCCCTAAATTACTTTCAGATGCTGTTTTCCATTATGTAACCCTTTGTTCTCTCTGTTCCTGTGTTCCTTCTTCTTAACTGAAGGCAAAGTTATATGTCTATATCAAAATACAGTTTCGGTGACTGAATCTAATGTACTAAGGAATCCAGTCTGATTTTATGACTGCCTCACTCTCCTTAATACTTATTCTGATGTCACACTTTGTGTCATTCACAAACGATCTCAGCAATGATTTCAAATTTATTTTGAGCTCACATAAGAAAATATTTAATGGTGCTAAGACATAGCCTTTGAAAGGTAATGCAACATGTAAGAGAGGCCTCAAACAGGTTAGTGGTCAGCATGGCGCAGTGAAACCCTGCTTTGCCTTCAGCTGAAGAAAATGGAAGCTTTTTAAGGGCAAAAATGGGGCAAATGCCTAACTTAGGCAGCTGGTCTCTCCACGTTCCCTCTGTAGCTCACGAAGAGAGAAGGGCTTCTCCAAAGGTGAGCACAGAATAGGAGGCTGACTTGGGTCTACAGAACTGCCTTTGGTCTCGGTAGACTGCTGAAGGATGTCAGCTATCTCCAGTGCCTGAAGCTGAGGGGTGTGAATTACTACTTTCCCGCAGCTCATAATAATCTTGACTCTTTATGACTCTGTAATTTGAGGTGCCAAGTGCCTATGCAATTCCCTCAATAAATAACGTAAAGAACTTGCATTAACATCTTAACTTTCAGGAGCCATTTTAGGCATTAAAGTAGCGACAGTGCCAACATTTCACAAGCAGCCCTAACACTTCCGCTGCCTGTATTTGTTTTACACTGATCTTTAATTTCCTGATTAAATACAGGTTTCCAAATTACACAATATGCTGTATGCACATTTTCTACATTCTTAGAAAATGTATAGCATGGTATATGCAAAACAATACAGTGTTCCTGGGTAGTCTTCTGCATGTACAGTATTAGAGAATAATGGTGTGCATCTGATGAAATACCCAGTTCTCCTGCCTTTTTTCATATAAATTAACTATGTATCTAATTGCCTCATCTGCCAGTCTGTAATTTGCATGTGTTCACAGGTATATTGCTTTTGTATTTAACTGCTTCATTTCCATGCACTGTATGCAAAAAGGGGTTGTAAAGTTCTGTGTCGTACAATGCTGCTTGCTAAAATATTAAAATACATACCTTGGAGAGAAGATCAGTTAATGCTGATCAAGCTCATGTCAAACAGAGTAAGTATACTATGAAGAAATACTACCCACCCTTCTAAAAACAGTATTATAGAGGGTTATATGAAATGAGAGATAGTAGCTAACGGTAGAATCACCTCATAAACCAATTCTCCTTCTACAAGTAACTTTGTTAAATTCGGGGGAGTCAAGACCAGAATCAAATCTCTGAAAGCTCAAAGGAAAGTCTTGTCATGTGCAGCGTCTAGGGAGGCAGAGATAAGTGTGCAGGTGCAACTCTAGTTATGGCATTTCCTGATTTTGTTGATTGCTTAATTGTAACGTTCTCAATACACTTGTTTCAGAGTGGAATTTCTTAAATGAACACCACTCAGAGCTCATTAGCACCCGCAGATATACAGCAGCCAGCATTATCATGGTTAAAAAAATACCAGGAGGAAGCATCAAGGCTGGAAACGATCCTGTATGAAAACTTGAACTCAGATTTGGGATTTGGAGTGTTTGATCAGCTGTTCCATATTGTCTGTTGTGGTAAGCTACAAAGCCAAATGTGACTGCTCTTCCATAATGCTTCTTCTGCGTTGCAGGATGGGAGGATTTTGGGAGTGCATTCAAAACCAGTTTATTCTCCTCTTTATTATTTACGTATAGGAAGGTTGGGGTTAGGCCAGGGTTAATGGCTGACACTGGAATGACCCTGCAGGTATTTTCTCAGGAGAGCTTAGCTCCGTGTTATCCTTCATTGTCCTCCCTGAGCAGTGTGTCTAGCCTCAATCTACCCAACTATCCTGCACCAAGATGAGCCAGGATCCTTCCTTAGAGGACTCTGGTCCTTTTTGCTGCAAGGATAGAAAGAATTTGTAGGCATCCAGCTCTCAGCCTTACTGACACAGTACTATGGGTGTGTGCTTGGGGATGTCTGAAATGGCTTGTTAGATGCAGCCTTTGGTGTCCTCGGCATGGGAAAACATTGCCCGGGCATAGGCTTGGGCACTGAGCAGCAGTCTTCCCGCTTGTTCGTACAGTCCTGGGCAAAGTTATGGCCTTGGTGAACTATCCAGACGCTGTCCAAGCACACTTTGGGAGCTAGCACATGCCAGAGACCGATCCCAAAAGGCAGTTTGGATGCCACTACCCTGCGCTGGAGCATAGGAGAGTGTGGAGACGGCTGGACCCTGCCAGCTGGCCTTGGTGGCCTGGTTAGTTGAGCAGCAGAGGTGTAAACTTGCAGTCTGAGTGAAGTTCTGGTCTAGAGTGTCCATCATTTATGGTAGGATCCATCGCAGCTACTTTTAGCCGTCTCAAAGCGAGATAGCTCATCTAAGCTCCTGAACCGGGTGCCTGCGGGAACTGCGGAAAGCGAGGCTCCTCCTAAGGGTGCTTCATCCCACGTAGTTACCAATTTGGGAAAGACAGACAGCGTGTGACTAACACTCTCCCTTTGCCGCGGGGCGAGTGTCGATGTCTACGGTAGGCCAGACACCTACTTTCAGGAGCTAAAGACGCACCGAGAAAATGCAACA